TATATATATATATATATATATATATATATATATATATATATATAAATCGGATTTTATTATTCAAAAACAATTTTGGTAATTATCTAAACACAAAATAAGTCAAAAAACCGAGTTTTGAGCCATCTGATCCACTGACTCATCGAGTAGCCTTCTGGACTCGTTGAGTATGTCAGACAGACTGGACTCACGTCGTGAACTCAGTGAGTCACGTCGTGAGTTGAGTGTTTATCAAAAACGATTTTCTTTTCAAGCTATGGACGAACATATGAGCATCAAATATAATTGAAACCAGTCAAGGCTCTGATACCACTGATGGATTTTGAGCAAAAGAACATTCCTATGTGCATATGCAAAACCCTAAAGCTATGGATCTAGGTTTCTATATTGTACATGTAAATCATCCAAAGCTATAAAACCCTAGATCTAGCATATGAAATTCGAAATCAATAATTAAAACAAGTTTAGATGATTACCTTTCACAAGTAGCAAGAATGTTCAACTTCAAGAGCTTAGTATCACAATTGTAATACCTCTAATGGCTTACAAACACCAAAGCAATAACATGATCTTGAAGAGAGGGAATGGAGGCTCCAAATTCGGCTCTAGAACTCTTAGGAAATAAGTGGTAGCCGATTTTGGGTGCCGTAGGGTCCTTTTTATAGGTGTGCTGCTAGGGTTTCAGTCAAAACCCTAATTGGATAACGTAGGCCTTAAGCAGTCCAAACCACCTTCTGGAATAAGGCCATGGACGAAATCATAGTGGGCTTCCACTCTAATTTTCGTCCCCCTTATATCCATAAGGATCTACAGCCCAAAATCCAATTATCTTATAATTGCAATATCAGTCCCTTTTATTTAATTAATCTCTTTTAGTCACAAAATTAATTCTTAATTAATTCTTGACCAATATTAATTAAACAATATGATTTCTTTTTTAATATATTATTCTTATAATATATTAATAAACCATAATATCCTATTTCTCCATTAATCATCCATTCAAATTGTCTTGGTGAAGGCAACCCAAAAGGACCATGCTACTATCGGGTCAAGTGCATACCAAATATAGTTATGGGCTTAGACACCTAATCCAACAACCCGAACCCACGGGTCAAATTTGCATCCCTAATCAAGACATAATGGAAAACTTTCTCAACCTTTTTTTTTTGGAAAGACAAATATATTAAACTAAGTTTTTTGACATTTTATTTTGAATAAAAGCATTTGTTATTTATTATGAAATTAAATAAAAATATAGAATGTTATTTATTATGAAATTAAATAAAAATATAGAATGCGTTCTAATTTTGAGTTTTTTAAATGTTAAGGTCCAAAATTTATAAATTGTACATGGTCTACCCTGACGTCACCATCACGACGACCTGGGATTTTAGCGACAACAGTAAACTCTGACAATGGATCAGAGAACTCCGACCAGTGTACCGAAAAAAATGAAATCGCAATATCGGTGTTGTCAATTGCGACGATAATAACTACTAGCGATGCTAGCCTTTAGCGACAACCCCAATAGGGATGTCTTTTTAATATTAGCTATGGAGCATTAGCGGCGACATGTCGCCGCTAAAGGTATTACGACACTTTTCCCTATCTTATGCGACGATTTTTGTCACTGCTAATACTAACATTTTTTGATGTGACCCTAAAATATACAAAAGTAATGACAATACTACTCTATCTCCGTAACTAAAAATACTATTCTACATATAACTATAATATCTAATAAAAGTTAGAGTTTTGATATAAAAGTTCTTAAATTTGGCAAGTTTGGTTAATGTCTAAAATTTAACATTTTTTTTTTAATTCTTAGTTTTTTTGCTCTTGTTTTCTTTAATAGCAGGTTTTTAGATTTTTATTAAATTAAAAATTGCAATAACAAAACCCCTTAAGTTTATAAAACTTTTATGTTTTTACCGTGCATATTAAAAATATATATTTATTTGATGTTACTTAAAAAAAATGTATATATAAATATATTTTTTCTGTATGAATACGTATAATATTAAAAAATATATAAATATTTAAGATAAAAATATAAAATATTTGTAAACTTAATTTTTTTTTTATTTTGATTTAATGATAACCTAGACCTGTAATATAATACAGATAACAAGGTAAAAACTAAAAAAAATAAAAATAAATAAAAATAAAGACTTTGTAAATTTTAGACATTAACAAATAAAAAATTGTTATAGATTTAAAACCAAGAAAATATGTTAAACTTAAGAATTTTCATGTCGACACTAAAACTTATTATATTCTATTTCTAACGTTGAATGGAGCCCATATATATCAAGTGTTCGGAGATTTTTTTAGATAGATCCTATATATCTAGAAGTTTCTAAAGTATAATTCTTGCCTGGTACGATGTATTTGGTGATAGATCCTATATATCTAGAAGTTTCTAAAGTATAATTCTTGTCTGATAGGATGTATTTGATGATGAACATATTTTCTTAAACATTCCATGCATATTAATATAATAAATTTGTTCATTGTTTCAGGTAAAGCACCATTAAAATTCAAGTCCGTATAAATTTTATGGCTTTAGAGATTGGTTAAAAGTTGTAATTGATCAGCATATTACCAAAGCTCAAGCATGTAAACTTTAGGCATTTTGTTATTTTTTGTAATAACATAAAGATCGTGATATTTTCATATATCTAATCTTAAAAAAAAAGACCATACCGGCTAATTTCTTCACTACTTACAAGTTACAACCCGTATTTGGCTTGTCTATACAGAGAATACAAGTTATCTAATGTTAACTGAAGTCAAAATACACATTATTCTATCAACATATCATCTCTTATGCCGATTGCTCAGCCAGCAGTCTTTGAAGCTCGCTCGGTCTGCATGGTATAACCACCGCACCTTCATAATTAAACCCAAACTCTTCAGCAGCCCGTTCCAGTAGTCTTACAAATGAAGCCCTTTCAAGATATGCTACAGGAACAACAAACCTCCTCTCCTCATGTTCATTCACTGCTATCACTGCAAAGTGCCCTTCTTTCACATCTTTAATAGTTCTAGCAAAAACTCTCCTCTGTAACCTCTTCACCATCACAGAAATCCCAATCTTTTTCGACATATTGCACTCTGAATATATGATGAATGATATCTTTTAATTAGTCTCTAGTGATCAGGTTAACAGTACGACTAGTACTTATACTCTTTGGAGTCACAATATAAACATGGCATGCATGTGTGCACGTATACACTATGTCGACTCCGTGTATGTGTGTGCACGTGCCGAAACGGAAAACTGGAAATTTACCACGAATTTGTGGAGCACGATTGATGCACATGGTGGGTTCCTGGTTTAGGTAAGTTCCCTTCACCGGCTAATTAATCCGAAAAAGGTTATAAGTATATTTTCGTACCACTTGAGTGGTAAGGTGGGGTTGCAGGATCTATAACAAGTGTTATGTTATACCACCGACTCTAAAACCTCTTACGATTAACGTTCTGTATCTCGACCTAAAACTTAATATTAGTGAAATATATAATTCGTAGACAAAATTACATAAATAGTCCCTGTGGTTTATTACATATCACAAACTAAGTCCTTACTAATTTTTTTTTGATGCATGTGGTTGTGTGGGTTTCAAAACTAGCATGAATGATCATTTTTGTTCACGGTGTTACTTTTTGTTTGTTAATGTGAGGGTAATTTGATCTTTTCAGATATAATGAGTTGTGTTTGTGACCATGGGTAAACCATAGAGATCATTTATTTAACTTTGTCAATATTTTATGTTGATGAGTTTATGGTTTTTCATCTTTTTTACTTTTTACACTACAAGAAAAAAGGGTATTAGCGGCGACAAAAGTCGCCGCTATTGCTCACCAAAGTCGCCGTTAATAGCTTTACCGGCGACACGTCGCCGCTATTGAGTCGCCGCTACTGCCTCGTCGCTATTGCTCAAAAAGTCGCCGCTAATGCTACGTGTCGCCGCTAATGATAATGTCGCCGCTAATGCTACGTGTCGCCGCTATTGCTGTTTTTTATTTTTTTTTAAAAGCAGTCAATCTCGGCTGTCCGAAAACCGATACAAAATAACGTTAAATGCAGAAAAACCGATACGTTAAATGCAGAAACACGATTACATAACATCCAAGTTTTATAATACCATACATACACCAAAATAAATAACAAAATTCTTATAAATTTATGTCATACTACAAATGCTAATAAAAGATAAAACTAATATGACGTGTCATCATCCCCGCCACCGTTGTTCCATCCTATAAGCTCCACAGTTGACTACGGATCGTTGGACATTGATCGAAGATTCTCCAACTACATAATAAATAACAACTTATAAACTTGTAAGTTAACGTATTAACTTAAACCAAACTAAAAATTACCAAATGACATTGTAGCGTCCTACTTGTTTTTTGTTTCTTTTTTCCATTATGACATTGTAGTTTACATATTTCACACAAAATACAAATACACACATACATACAATATACACATATATACATACTTTTTATACACATAAAACAACTATGAACACAATCCAAACTGCATACAAATACATACATACATACATTATACACATACACGTATTTTTTATACACACACATATATGAAATACACACAATTTCCACACACATATATATGAAATACACACATATATACAAAATACACACACAAATGCACACATATATACAAAATACCCACATATATACAAAATACCCAGTCACAATAAATAGAAGTAATAGAACCTGTGGTGGCGTGTGGTGGCGTGTGGTGGTCCAGTGGTGGCGGTAGTGGCAGGTGGTGGTCGGCAACACAATCAACAAAACTGAAATTGTAATTTTTTTGCAATTAACCACTCCAATAAGCTTAAAATCAATGTTACAAGAGAAAATGGACCGGAAATTGAC